TTATAATTTTTCTCTTACTCTGGGACAAGTACTTGGGACAAGTACTGAGTTTGGAAAAAAATATTTTACATTTTTTATAGCTTTAGTTTTGCTTTAAATTAAACTTTTTCAAAAAATGTACATTCTTCAAAAATTAATGTCAACTGCTGTACGTATTGTAATCAATAGCTATTGGTTATAAGTTTTCTTATACTCAGGACAAGTACTGACTTTTGCAAAAAATATTTCACATTTTTGATAGCTTTAGTCTTGCTTTTAATTAAACTTTTTCATAAAATCTTTACTTTTTAAAAATTAATGTCAACTGATGTACGTATTGTAATCAATAGCTATTAGTTATAATTATTCTCATACTCTGGGACAAATACTGAGTTCAAAAAAATATTTCACATTTTTGATAGCGTTAGTTTTGCTTTAAATTAAAGTTTTTCAAAAAATGTACATTTTTTAAAAATTAATGTCAACTGCTGTACGTATTGTATTTAATAGCTATTGGTTATAAGTTTTCTTATACTCAGGGACAAGCACTGAGTTTGGAAAAAAATATTAGACATTTTTTATGTCCGTATTTTTGCCTTAAATTAGACTTTTTAGTAAAATTAAAATTTTTTTAAAAAATAATGTCAACTGCTGTACGTATTATAAGCAAAAGCTATTAGTTTTATTTTTTCCTTACTCAGGGACAAGTACTGAGTTTGGAAAAAAATATTTCACATTTTTGATATCTTTAGTTTTGCTTTTAATCAAACTTTTTCATAAGATCTCCATTTTTTAAAAATTAATGTCAACTGCTGTACATATTATAATCGAAAGCTATTGGTTATATTTTTTTCCTTACTAAGGGACAAGTACTGAGTTTGGAAAAAAATATTTCGCATTTTTGATAGCTTTAGTTTTGCTTTAAATTAAACTTTTTCAAAAAATGTCCATTTTTCAAAAATTAATGACAACTGCTGTACGTATTGTAATCAATAGCTATTGGTTATAATTTTTCTTATACTCAGGGACAAGTACTTAGTTTGGAAAAAAATATTTCACATTTTTGATAGCTTTAGTTTTGCTCCAAATTAAACTTTTTCAAAAATTGTTCATTTTTCAAAAATTAATGTCAACTGCTGTAGGTATTGTAAGCAATAGCTATTGGTTATTTTTTTTCTCATACTCAGGGACAAGTACTGAGTTTGGAAAAAAATATTTCACATTTTTGATATCTTTAGTTTTGCTTTTAATCAAACTTTCTCATAAGATCTCCATTTTTTAAAAATTAATGTCAACTGCTGTACATATTATAATCGAAAGCTATTGGTTATATTTTTTTCCTTACTAAGGGACAAGTACTGAGTTTGGAAAAAAATATTTCGCATTTTTGATAGCTCTAGTTTTGCTTTAAATTAAACTTTTTCAAAAAATGTCCATTTTTCAAAAATTAATGTCAACTGCTGTACGTATTGTAATCAATAGCTATTGGTTATAATTTTTCTTATACTCAGGGACAAGTACTAAGTTTGGAAAAAAATATTTCACATTTTTGATAGCATTAGTTTTGCTCCAAATTAAACTTTTTCAAAAATTGTTCATTTTTCAAAAATTAATGTCAACTGCTGTAGGTATTGTAAGCAATAGCTATTGGTTATTTTTTTTCTCATACTCAGGGACAAGTACTGAGTTTGGAAAAAAATATTTCACATTTTTGATATCTTTAGTTTTGCTTTTAATCAAACTTTTTCATAAGATCTCCATTTTTTAAAAATTAATGTCAACTGCTGTACATATTATAATCGAAAGCTATTGGTTATATTTTTTTCCTTACTAAGGGACAAGTACTGAGTTTGGAAAAAAATATTTCGCATTTTTGATAGCTCTAGTTTTGCTTTAAATTAAACTTTTTCAAAAAATGTCCATTTTTCAAAAATTAATGTCAACTGCTGTACGTATTGTAATCAATAGCTATTGGTTATAATTTTTCTTATACTCAGGGACAAGTACTAAGTTTGGAAAAAAATATTTCACATTTTTGATAGCTTTAGTTTTGCTCCAAATTAAACTTTTTCAAAAATTGTTCATTTTTCAAAAATTAATGTCAACTGCTGTAGGTATTGTAAGCAATAGCTATTGGTTAGTTTTTTTCTCATACTCAGGGACAAGTACTGAGTTTGGAAAAAAATATTTCACATTTTTGATATCTTTAGTTTTGCTTTTAATCAAACTTTTTCATAAGATCTCCATTTTTTAAAAATTAATGTCAACTGCTGTACATATTATAATCGAAAGCTATTGGTTATATTTTTTTCCTTACTAAGGGACAAGTACTGAGTTTGGAAAAAAATATTTCGCATTTTTGATAGCTCTAGTTTTGCTTTAAATTAAACTTTTTCAAAAAATGTCCATTTTTCAAAAATTAATGTCAACTGCTGTACGTATTGTAATCAATAGCTATTGGTTATAATTTTTCTTATACTCAGGGACAAGTACTAAGTTTGGAAAAAAATATTTCACATTTTTGATAGCTTTAGTTTTGCTTTAAATTAAACTTTTTTAAAAAATGTCCATTTTTAGGGTTCCGTACACCATAGGTGTACTGACGGAACCCTTATGAAATCACTCGTGTGTCCGTCCCAGCCACGCAAAATGGGCTGTCCCCCCCCCTAACTTCTACAAATCTCAACCTGGTGAGTTGAAATTCGGCAGGAATCTTCAGTTTTAAGTGCAGATTACAGGAAAAATATAGCGAACCCGATTGACGGACATATTTGCGAACTAGGAGGGAAAGAAATTCACTTTTTTCGAAAAAAATGCTAAAAATGACCCTGTCCCCCCCTTAACTTTTGCAAATCTCAACCTTATGAGCTGAAATTCGGTAGGGATCTTCAGTTTTAAGTAAAGATTACAGGAAAAATATAGCGAACCTGATTGGCGGAGTTATTTGCGAAATTGAAGGGCAAGAATTTGAATTTTTCGAAAAAATTACACTGTCCCTACTTTAACCTTTATAAATTTAAACCTGGTGAGTTAAGATTCAGCTTGTATATTCTTTTTCAAGTGCAAATTATAGAAAAAATAAAGAGAATGTGATTGGCGAAGATAAGTACTATAAAAGAAAAAATATAAAGATTTATTAATAAAATAAAATAATAAAAATATTTATTCGAAATTTAAAAAAAATATATTACTATTTTTTTAATTATTTTTTTAAATTTTGTAAGAATTTTTGAAACAATTTTTTTATAAACAATGAGTTTTATTTTGGTGTACGGAACCCTCGATCTTAATGCGAGTGAAACTCGCACTTGTCCGATTTTTAAAAAATTATGTCAACTGCTGTACATATTATAATCAATAGTTAGGTTATAATTTTTTCCTTACTTAGGGACAAGTACTAAGTTTGGAAAAAAATATTAGATATTTTTCTTTTCTGTAGATTTGATTTAAATTAGATTTTTTAGTAAAATCCCAATTATTTGAAAAATTAATGTCAACTGCTGTACATATTATAATCGAAAGCTATTGGTTATAATTTTTCTCATACTCAGGGACAAGTACTGAGTTTAGAAAAAAATATTTCACATTTTTGATAGCTTTAGTTTTGCTTTAAATTAAACTGTTTCATAAAATCTCCATTTTTAAAAAAATTATGTTAATTGCTGTACATATTGTAATCAATAGCTATTGGTTATAATTTTTCTCTTACTCAGGGACAAGTACTAAGTTTGGAAAAAAACAGTAGACGTTTTTAATCGTTGTAGATTTATCTTAAATTAAAATTCTTTATGAAGTCACCCATTTTTCCAAAATTAATGTCAACTGCTGTACATATTATTATAATCAATAGCTATTGGGTATAATTTTTCTCTTACTCAAGGACAAGTATTGAGTTTGGAAAAAAATATTCGAATTTTTGTTTAGTCGTAGATTGGACAAAATTTAATTTTTTTCTCAAAATCTTAATTTTTAAAAAAATAATGTCAACTGCTGTACATATTATCATCAATAGGTATTGGTTATAATTTTTTTTTTTCACAGGAAGAAGTACGGAGAAAAGAAAATATTAGACATTTTATATACCCGTTGATGTGCCTCAAATTGAACCATTTCACAAAATCTCTATTTTTAAAAAATTTATGTTATCTGCTGTACATATTATAATCAATAGCTATTGGTTCTAATTTTTTTTCTTTCGTAGGGAGAAGTACTGAGTTTGGAAAAAAATATTTCACATTTTTCATAGCTGTAGATTTGCTTTAAATGTAGTTCTTAGTTAAATTCCCATTTTTTAAATTAGATTTTGTCATGAAATTTCAATTTTTCAGACTTTAATGTCAACTGCTGTACGCTCTTGTACTCATTAATAATTGTTTATAATTTTTTTACAATGATAATTATATATTGAGTATGAAAAAAATTAAGGACGTAAAACAAGATTTGTTTTAAATTAGTCCATTTCATGAAATTACAATTTGTAAGACATTAATGTCCACTGCTGTACATTAATTTTGTGGAACGATGTTATTCTATTTTAAACATAGAATTTTAATAATTCTGTTTACTAAAATAGGATCAAATGTGTTTAGTTTTATATTTTCAAAGATTTTTTTATTTTAAATATTGAATTTGAGTAGAAAATTACTAAAAAAATTTGTAAATAAATAAATTGAATATTTAGTCGACGTTAAAATTATTCAGAATTACAGGGAAAAGTTAATTCCAATCCCAAATTGTGAACAAGATAACGTCCCTGACCATTGTTAATGATGGTTGATTTGTTTCTTCCCTTGTCTACCTTCCCTTTGAAGACCATAAAAGTACGAAATTGAAATTGAACCCTTGCTCCTTCTTTTATTACCTTCATGGAAAATTTCCCCTTCTATCATGCTAAGTTTTCCATAAGGTCCCAGTTCTTCTATCTCCTTTGATAAGGTGAAGTTTTATTTCGCCAAAAAATAAATTTAAATATTTCTGATAGCTCAAATAAAAAAAAATAATTATTATTTTTATTTGAATAGAATATTCAAGAATTCTCCAAAGAGCAACACAGTTTCAAACGAATTTCCTTTCAATTTCCTGTCATCTCTGATGTACTGAGTAAGTACCAAAAATTTTACAATTTTTTTAAACAATTTCTAATTATTATTTGTCGTTAAAATTTTTTATCAAAATAATAGTATTTGAAAATAGTAATTAAAATTACTATTTAATTACTATTTAAATAATTATATTTTTATTTCATTGATACAATCTTTTAATGAATAAATTATTCTTTATTTATACGAAAGTTAAATAATGAAACTAAATTTTTTTATAAGAAATTCTTTTGTTTAACAATATTTATTATTAATTATCCATTTTTTTTAATAAAAAAATAATCTTGTTTAATACAATTTAAAATTTATTTCTTTATATAAAAACATATTCTAAATAGAAAATTACTCGGGGTGTGTGAATTAATTTCAATAATTTATATTTTTTTCCTTGTCTTATTAATTTCAATTTTTTTTTTGCAGACACGCATCGCACTGCAGTCTTGAGAGGGAACATAAAGGAAAGAGTATTCAACAGGACACTGAAATTATACTTTGAATCTTCGTTCTTAACATTATGAAGGAAGAGGAAACAAGATCAAAAGGGGTAGGTCAAAAAAAATTACTAAAACAGTACTTTTTTTACTTTCTTTACTATATGAATGTTTTATTAAAATCTAATAAATCATCACTTCAACTGATTTTTTTATTCGCAAAAGTAAAATTTGTTTTAAAACATTAAAAATATAATTACATATTTTCATTCTTAGTTGAAGATAGTTTTTATTTTGAGTCAAACAAATTTGCAGTGTTCTCACAAAGATTTTAGAATTTTTGCTTACTAGAGGTCCTTTAAATGGAAATTTTTTAAAAATACTAAGTTTTCGGCATTAATGTTCACTGTTGTACATTTATATAAACAATAATTTTTTTTCCATACTAAGGGACAATTGCAAAGTTCTAAAAAAAATTACTTCATTTTTATAACCTCTTAGATTCCTTTTAAATTAAGCATTGTTTAAAGACTACTTATTTTTCGACATTAATGTCAACTGCTGTACATTCATATAAAGAATAAATATTGTTTATATTTATTTTCATTCTCAGAAATATTTGTGGAGCCCTTAAAAAATTGCTTCATTTTTTTAACCCATTAGATTTCTATTAAATTTAACTTTTTTAAAAAATAATAATTTTTCGACATTCATGTCAACTGATGTACATTAATATAAACAATATCTTTTTCCATATTCAGGAACATTTGTAGATCTCTCAAAAAAATTACTCAATTTCTTAACCTCTTAGATTTCTTTTAAATTAAACATTTTTTAAAAGCTACTAATTTTTCGACATTAATGTCAACTACTGTACAATAATATACAGAATAAATATAGTTTATATATTTTTCCATACACAGGAACATTTTTAGAGCCTTAAAAAAATTTCTCCATTTTTTTAAACCATTATATTCCTTTTAAATTTACCTTTCTTAAAAAATACTAGTTTTTCGACATTAATGTCAACTGCTGTACAATAATATAATGAATAATTATTTTTTATATTTTTTCCATATTCAGGAACATTTTTAGAGCCATCAAAAAATTGCTCCAATTTTTTAACCAATTAAATTCCTTTTAAATTTAACATTTTTTAAAAACTACTTATTTTTGAACATCAATGTCAACTGCTGTATAATAATATAAAGATTGAAGAATAAATATTGTTTATATTTTTTTCATACTCAGGAACATTTGTAGAGCCATCATAAAAATTGCTCCATTTTTTTAACCTACTAGATTCTATTTAAATTATATATTGTTCAAAAATAATAATTTTTTGCCATTAATGACTACTGTTGTACATTAATATTAACAATAATAATTGTTTATATTTTTTCCATATACAGGAACATTTTTAGAGCACTTAAAAAAATTTGCTAATTTTTTTAACCAATTAGATTCCTTTTAAATTGAACATTTTTTAAAAAATATTAATTTGTCGACATTAATGTCAACTATTGTACATTAATATAAAGAATAAATATTATTTATATTTTTTCTATTCTCAGGAACATTTGTAGAGCCCTCAAAGAAATTTCTCAATTTTTTTAACCCATTAGATTTCTATTAAATTTAACTTTTTTAAAAAATACTAATTTTTCGACATTCATGTCAACTGCTGTACATTAATATAAACAATAATATCTTTTTCCATATTCAGGAACATTTGTAGAGCCCTCAAAAAAATTACTCCATTTTTTTAACCCATTAGATTCCTTTTAAATTTTATCTTTTTAAAAAAACTAATTTTTGCCAATAATGTCAACTGCTGTACATTAATGTAAAGAATACTTGTTATTTTTTTCACACTGAGCAATAATTGTAAATTTTAAACAAAATGTTTTAATTTCTTAACCTCTAAGATTCATTTTAAATACAATTTTTTTTAAAAAATACAAATTTTTGACATTAATGTCAACTGCTGTACATTAATATGAACAATAATTATTATTTATATTTTTTTCTATACATAATTTCTACATTAATGTCAATTGCAGATTTTTCAAAAATATTTCTCCATTTTTTAAACCCCTTAGATTTATTTTAAATTAAACATTTTTCAAAAAATACTAATGTTTGGACACTAATGTCAACTGCATTACAAAAATAGAAACAACAATAATTATTCACATTTCTTTTTATACTCATGATTATTTACAAGGTTTGTAAAAAAATTGTTGACCTTTTCAACGTTCCTAGATTTTTTTAAATTATACTTTTTTATTAAATTATTATAAAATTCAAATTTTCGTACATCCAGTGATATGTAGGGGAATGTAGTCAAGGTTGGCCTACTGTCTAGGTAGGCCACTCGCGTTTTTTTGTCAAGTTCACTAGCGCCACCTACGCGCATTTTTGTCGAAGCTTGTCTTAGTGAAACCTAACTTTTTGTTCAATTACATTTTCGGAAAATCGAAAATTGTGTTTTCTGTGACGTCGGTACAAAAAAAGCTCAAAAAAAGTTTTGTGCATCATGTGAAAAACCATTAATAAAAGATAAAAAACAAATTGAATCGTCAAGGCAAGTATGCAGAAAATTTGTGGGACTCATGGTTGAAAGAAAAACAAAGTAAAAAATCGAATCCCGAAACGTATTTCTTTATGGTTACAACAATTCGGTAATGTTACTTACTGTCAAGGTCGGCCACTATGTGTTTAAAATGCGCAAAGTTGAGGACGAGCTACTTCATTTGCAAAAACTGCAATTCTGTATAACTCATAATATAATTGATCATCTTATTAATATTTTTATTTAATTTTATTAATATTTTAGTGCAAAACTTTTTTTTATTTATATTTATTTTTTTATATTGTTTATTTTTATTATTTTGTTATTTCATTAAGTTACAAACTGTAAACAATAAAGAATCAATTTTCCGTAACTCCAAACATGTTATTTTATTTTTTAACGATTAATGCCCTTTGAATTTTAAACATGGCCGACCTTGACTGTAATGGCCAACCTGGACTACAAATTTTTTTTTTTTTAAATCTTTATAACTTTTTCATTTTTAAACCTGTCAATTTACTTTGTACAGAAAAAATGTTCCTATTAAACAGGACTTTCCAACCATATACTTCAATTGTCCAAATTCATTTTTAAAAAAAAGTTATAAACAAAAGTCAAAAAGGTGGCCGACCTAGACTATGTTCCCCTATATATTAAAAAAACCATTTTCAGGAAATACTGGATAATCATATTTATTTAAAAATAATATACCGTCACTCACGACGTTTCGATATCAACGTTGATATCCTCTTCAGGTGAAAATCTGTTAAATAATTCATAAATTTAAAAAAACGAGTGAGTGACGGTATATTATTTTTAAATAAATATGATTATCCAGTATTTCCTGAAAATGGTTTTTTTAATATTAAATTATTTTTTTTTTAATTAATATCAACTACTGTATATTATTGAAAGCAATAGTTAATGTTTATATATTTTTTATTCTCATAAACATTTGGTGAGTTTGTAAATAATTGTTGGAAGTAGGAATTTAATTTAACAATTTATATAAATTTCTAATGAACTAAAATTTTTTTTGCAGAGATATATTTTTTTCTCAAAAATCAATGACGAGCGAGCGAACGAAAGAAGAACAGGACGCAAGAAGACACCCCAGCGTGGTTGACAGTCACTGGAAAATCTGCGGAAAATGGAATATTTAGCTCTCTTTGTATTAGGAAATTTTCCCCGAGTGTTAAAAATGTTTGTTATTTAGCTAGGGAGTTTGAAACCAAAAAATGAAATATATTAGCAAGGCAAATAGCAATATATTAGCAAGGCAAATAGCAATCTAAGTAGTTTTAAATATTATAAAATAATTTTAACACAAGAGACTTCAACATCCAGCATCAACTCATCATTATGGGGTAAGTCAAAGAATTCTTTCTCTTGTTTTACTTGCACCCAGAAAAAAGTTTTATTTCCTATTTATAATAAAATTCTAACTTTATTTTTTACTTAAAAAATAAATTTAATTCAAATGAAAAATTTAAATTGAAAATATTTGTCGTTAAAAGAACACTTTTTAGTGAACGAAAGTTTTATCTTCTGAATTTTATTTTTTAATAATTATTTTATTTCATTTATTTTTGTTTTTAATTCTATCTTTTTAAAGTAACCTAGTATTATAATTTTGAGTAACTAAATGAAATTTATTGTAAATTAAAATTTAATGGAAAATAAATAAAAATTATGTAAAGAATAAGAACTTAAAGAGTTTAATAATTTAAAAATTTTAATAATCAGTATATATGAAAAATAAAGTTAGAATTATAAATAAAAATGTAAACTGTAAAATTTGTAATAATTAGGGGATATTGTTCCTTCCTTCAATAGGATTCCTCCTTCGAATTTTCCATTGCGTCACAGTTCTCTTACCTCCTTTAGAAGGAGTAGGTAGTTAAATATTAAAGTATTATTTCACAAAATAAATGAATCTTATTTTAAATTATTATTAATTATTAATTTTTATATTTAAATTATTTAAAATTTAACAACAGATATATTATTTAAAACTTAACAAGATTAATTATAAAAATTTTAACAAGATAAATTATTTAAAATTTAACAAGAAATTCCCCACTTTGCAACACTATTTTGAAGAAGGACATTTTTCTGCAATTTCCCATTCGTCTTTTATAAATCTTGAGTAAGTCTTACAAATATTTCAACAATTTTTTTTTTCTTTAAAATATTTTGAAAACTACAATATTTAATATTTATTTAAATTAATAACAGATTTTATAAAAGAAAACTATACATGCAACAGCTACAAATTATACTGCTTTTTAGTGAATTTCTAAAATTTTTCAATGTAGTAATTAAAAATAATACTGCTTAAATAATTTAGCGGCAAAATATTTAGATTTCTCTTTTTATGAAAAATTATATTTAATTTATTTACGTGGAAATTAATTTTAAATATTTATTTTTCCAGTTTCGGCGTCAACTTTAGCAATATTTTTCGTTCTGAATAGGAGGGGCATCACCTGAAATGCCGAAGGGTAAGTAAAACAAATATTTTATTTTCCTTTCTTTATTCTTTCTTCACATAATTTTCTACATAATTCTAACAATATTCTTTTTGATACTTCATTCTTTAAAGTCATTTTTTAGTTTTCAAAATTCCATTCTCACACTCTAAATCTGAATCGGTGAAAACTTCCCAGATTTCAATTTAATGGACGAGGTTTCTTTGATAAATGAGTGATTGGTGAAATTCCACTGATTTATCAAAAAAAACATCGTCCTCTGAATTGGAATCTATGAAATTTTTATCGATTCAGATTTAATTCTTCTTTCTATTTTTCTTTGTTTTTTCCATCTGTTGTGCTATTTCCATCTCTGTCTCCTCTGGGGAAAATGCACTTCACTTATTCTGTGGTAGGGGAACTTCCCCCTCCAGTAGCAGATCTAGCTTCAGTTGTGGCGAATAAGATGAAGTGACTGTGGTTTTCCCTAGAAAAATAAAAATTTCCTTTTTGCCCCTTCAAAAAAAAAAATAACTTTTCTCTATATTTACCAGTTTAATATGCATCTCAGTTTCTTGTAGGGAAAACGCACTTCCGCTTATTCTCTGAGGAGTAGGACAATTTCTCCCACAAGTAGCAGAAATTGTTTTACTCTTGGCGAAGAAGATGAAGTGATCGTGTCTTTCCCTGGAAGGAACGACTTCTTTTTTCTCCTTTTTATTTATTAATTTATCAACTTTCCCATTTAACTTTCTTATGAAAACGCACTTCACTTATTTTCTGCGGAGTAGGACAATTTCTTCCAGCAGTGGCAGAAATTGTTTTACACCTGGAAAATAAGAAGAAGTGATCATCTTATTTCTTTCTCTTTGTATTTTTTCACTTCAGTCTCCTCTAGGGAAAACGCATTCTGCTTATTCTCTGGGGAATAGGACAGTTTCTATCACTAGTGGTAGAAGTTGGCTTATTCCTGTCGAATAAGACGAAAATGTCGTTTTCTTTCCCTGGAGGACCGACTAGTTTTTCCAACTCCTGTTCACTGTCTCTTTGGTGAACGGCTGGGTTACCTGCTTCTCTCAACTATCTTTTTTCCTCTATCTTCTTTTTTTACTTATGTCTTCTTATTTTTTCTGTCTTTTAAGTCTCCCCTAGGGAAAACGCACTTTACTTATTCTCTGGGCAGTGGGGCAATATCTACATTAGTAGAAATTGCTTCACTCCTTGCAAATAAGGCAAAGTGTCTTTTTTCCCTGGGGGACCGACCGACTTCTCTATCTACCTAGTAGAGCTGATGTCACCTCTCCTTTGGAAGGACTCAGTCTCCCCTAGGGAAAACGCGCTTCTCTTACTCTCTAGGGAGTAGAGGGAAACTTCTTCTCCGGAAGTAGAAGTTTCTCTTTGGGAGTAAGATGAAGTGTCGTCTCTTTCCCTGGGGGACCGGCTAGTCTCTGTTGACCAATGGAAAGCAGACATCAGTTCTCCCTCCCTTCCTTTTTGGTGGAAAGACTTGCAACAAGCCTTTCTGTCCGAAAGAAAGTCTTTCCACCAAACTCAGTCCTTCACAGACTCCCTAGTGAAGGACTTGAGAATTTCCTCCTCCCTTAACTTTTCCCAGGGGAGAGTGTGACGACTTTCTCTACCCACCTGGGAAACGAAGTCGTCCTCAAGGAGAGAAGTTGTCGACTTCACTCTCCTTGAGTAGGAAGAGAGAAAAGTCAGAAGTCGTCCTCAGAAAGGGGATGGCGACTTTCTCAATTCCAGAAGAAGTCGAACGGGTGAGAAGGTCACTCTGAATACCGACCTCTAGAGATGAAAAAAAAAATTAACATCACCCCCCCCCTTTTTCTTTCTCAAGGAGAGAAGTTGTGGTTCTCCTCTCCTTGACTTCGACTTCTACTGAGAAGTGGAAAGACTCGGTCATTTCCAACTTCCCTACTCGAGGAGATCGAAGTCGGAAACTCTCTCCTCGAGGACGACTTTGGTTTCTCCCAAGTGGGGGAAATTTATCCCAAGTGGAAGAGAAAGTCGTTAAACTCTCCCACTTGGGAAACGACTTCTTTTTCTCCCTAGGGAGAGAGAGAAGTCGCCAACTTCCTCTTTTCTATCCCCTCCATTTCCTACTTCTCCTCCCACCAACAGAGAACTAACTCTCCATTCTAAGAGTAGGAAAGGGAGGGGATAGAAAAATCGGAAAGAGTAGAAAAAAGGAGGGGAGGTTCAGGAACTAAGGTTGGAAAGTGTTGGAGGAAAATTCGATTATTTAAATCAATCAGAAGTATTTTAGCCATAATAATACAGCATTAATTTCAATTAGTTTCAATCGAAGTCAATGATGTATAATTATGACTGTTGTTCCTTCTAACTGATTCAAATTTAGAAATAAATATAAGAAATGAAGAGGAATTGAAGTTCCTTACTGGAAGACATTTTCAATTCTCCTTCTTCCTTAATTTTTCTCAACAAAAATAAAAGTGCGTAAACTTTATGCGTGCCGTTCAAAATTCTATCTACCTGTTAATTATTACTAAACTTCGTCTATTTTCTGTTTTCTAGATGGTTCAAGTCTGATGCTGCCTTTGGATAGACAACAGTTATTTTACTTTAATTCAAGAAAAAAGAAGAATTACAAGAAAATGTACTTTTTTAAGAAGTAGAATAAAAGTTTTTTCTAAAATAAAATTTCTTTATTTTTAAGAATTGTACCAACAAATAAAACCTTTTTCCCTTTGTATATATAATTTTGCAAATTTTTTTTATTTGTTTTAAAAAATAATAAATCATAAATTATTTAAACTAAATATATTTTATTTGCGTTAAATAAACTTATATTTCTCTCAGAACCAACTAGACCTTTTATTTGTTTCAAATAAAAATTTTATTCGACGTAAATAAAATATATTTGAGCCAAATAGAATTTATTTGAAACAAATAAAAAGTCTAGTTGGTTCTGAGCCAAATATATCTTTTCTCTGGATACATGTTGCATACTTTAGTTTATGCAACAAAGGCGTATTATGGTCACTATACACGGAGAAAAAAATCAGGGCTTTTCAGCATGGAGTGGTCTGTACCTTTAGCGCATGGGCGCTTCCTTACGGCGAAAGAACGAATTTGTACGATTGCAGCAAGAGCTCGCCCTATTTTAGTAAGGAGCCTTGCTGCAATCGTACGAGTTCGTTCTTTCGCCGCAAGGAAGCGCCCATGCGCTAAAGGTACAGACCACTCCATGCTACAAAGCCCTGATTTTTTTCTCCGTGTAGGCTACCTGTGCCGGTGTTTGCTGAGTTCTCCCATATAACCCACTGGTCAATACCATTATTACCCTAGGGTCATAATGGGTACTTTATTGACCTGCGAGCTTTCAATAAAGGACCAGGTAGATAAAGTGAAAATAATACGCCTAAGTTGCTTAAAGGTAATTTTTATGTTTTCTAAATTTCTTTTAAATAAAAACTTAACAAGTAAATAAATTGTTTTTACTATTAAACAAACAAAAATTATAGAATATTAGAAAAACTAATTAAGTGAAGTAAAAAAAGAAAATAAAATGTTTAAATAAGAAAACAAAATAGAAAAACAAATATTTAATATTTAAAGAAATTAACAAATTCCATAAGGTTAAGTGTACACGGACAAAATTTATTCCTGAATTTAAATTCGATAAAACATTTATTATTGTACAGAATAATGTTT